TCTCTCTCTCTCTCTCTCTCTTATTTACTCAGAGGAGGTTTATGTAGTGGCGTAATACTGAATGAACAATGGGTCCTAACATGCGGTCACTGCCTAATGTATGTATTATGTTATGTGAAACAATATTTATAAACATACCTGAATAACAATATCTAATATTTTTATAAACAACTATAAATATAATAATAATTAATACCTAAGTTGTGCCGCAAACTGTACGGTGACTGACATCCGAGTATACGCGGGACTAATAAACCAAAGCATTTCAAGTCACGCATACTATACGGGCGGTGAGTATTACATTAATCCTGATTACGCAGCAAACAAATGGTTTCCCTACGATCTGGCGCTCATCCGACTCGACTCTAGTATACCACTGGACGGGGCGTCGGGTTTGACGGGAATTAACGCCATTTGTTTGCCCGAAGAGAATGTGACAAATGTGACCGAAGAGTACGCCCTATTGAATGGGTTTGGCGTCGATAACGATAACGGGACGGGAAGTGGTATTCAACGCATGGGTTGGACTAAAATACTGAAGGGCAATCCCGACGATAGTCGGGGTCAAAATACCATGCTGTTTTGGACACGCGTACCGTTCCCGACGGGAACAGCCGGTTGTTCCGTATGATATTGTTTGCATTTTACGTTTTTTGAAACTTTTCTAACATAACTGTTGTATTTTAATATTTATTTAAAACACTATTTAATTGTCTAACAATTTATATATTGTCACTCATTTGGCAAAATAATGTTGGGCACACATTCGCGAACCACCAGGGTGATTCTGGTTCACCCATTATACAGTATGTGAATGGTGTGGCTGTACTCATTGGCATTCATGCTACTAAACACGGCACAGGAAAGGCATGTATGGGCTTAGATCCGGACGATACAGGAAGTGGTCCTCGTGTTTCACACCACATGCAATGGATTGTCAATACTATTAGTTCATTTGACAATGTTCAGGCCTAACTGGTTTATAGTGTAGCTAAAATTATGAAAATGGTATCATAATTTAAGTTAACATTCTTAGGCATCAGAAACCAAGTTTCATAAAATTCGCATCAATAGTTATGGCACAGGAATATTTTATATGACACCAGCCAAAATAATGCATTCCTATGGGAGAGTGGCTATTTCAGTATTTATTGACGTGTGATTTTACACTAAAATTTATCATGCTTAAACAATAATACAGATAATACAAAACCCTTACTCTTCTGAAATCTTCCATATTTAATGAATCTAATGATATGCTATTCAATGGCCAAAATTGACCGCTACCCCAGTTGTGACCAAATCTTTATCGGTAGTCAACCCGATTGGCGGCCTGTGTTCGGTCGGTTCGCATTTGATTTCCATTATAGTTAATGTTATGAAATCTTGTTAAAACTATTGTCGGATAAATAATTGTGAATATCAATATCCAAATAATCACTTTAAACGTGTATTTTGTAAAAATATTTTAACTTTAAAAATGTAATAATTTTTCACCAAATATTTTTGCACAAATTTGTAAAAATAATTCCAACTGACACATTTTAAAAATTTCTAGTATAAACATTAATCAACCAATCTTAATGAAACTTCGTTTCTGGTGCCTAGGAATGTTAACTTAAATTATGATACCATTTTCATAATTTTAGCTACACTATAAACCAGTTAGGCCTGAACATTGTCAAATGACCTAATATCTATGATAACAATCACTAGAGTTGTCATATGTTTTACTTATATAATCTAAATAATTATTTTAAATTTTTCAATTTTGAAAATTTTTATATTAATTTATTTATAATAAATTGATAAATATTGTCTACATTTTACAAAAGTATTTTATGTACTAGTATAGTTTATTTATTTTGTATTTTATTTATTACTTTTAGAATATTAAAATGTACAAGGTGTCATTATAAAATTTTAATTTGGAGATATCAGATGTTTGATTATTAGAAATCATTTATTTATAATTATCAATAGAAGGTACTTGATCATTATTATTCTCTCTTATGTTAACTAATAGATATACCGTAATAATCAGTATACATGTTTAAACATAATAATGTTCCAAGTACAGTTTACAAATTAATGAATTACTGCATTTAAATTACAGAATTTTAAACAAACCCACTAATGTTAATAAAATAATTATATTAAGTATTTAACTTATACATTTTTACCCACAAATCAGTATAAAAATGTAAAAATATACAATAAAATGATCATGATTTATCTCTGATGGTGGCCACGAGATTGGCAGCAAAACACATCGGGGTTTTGATGCCGTGAATAATATTCAAAAATACTTTTATTGTTTAACTTTTTAAGGCGTGGGGAGAACCAAAGTTATAGTATAGACTAGGAGATCCCTATGTGCGATTTATGTGCATTTTTACTATGTAAACTTTCATGGGTTTACATTGAATCATAGGTTTTCAGGGATCTCCTAGTATAGACTAGTCTCCGAAATTTGGTGTAAAATGTCGGCCCAACCCAACCCAACCCGTATTAAAATCAGAAAACATAACCCAACCCAACGCTAATCCGGCCCAACTCAACCCAACTCAACCCAACTCAACCCAACTCAACCCAACCCAACTTAACCCAACCCAACCCAACTTAACCCAACACAACTCAACTCAACCCAACCCTTCAACCCGTAAACCTCTTTTAAACCCGTCAACTCGTTTTAGACCCGTACCTCGTTTGCACCAGATTTTACCATTAATCTTAAACAGTTTAAAATAAGCATATGATATATACATACATATGTATAAATTAAATATTATAATTAGAAATAAATTAATGCAAATATTTTTATACAATTTCAAAATCTATATTTAATAAAAGTCAAAGTTTGATTTAATAAAAAGTACATGATTAACATTATTTGGATGTAAATTAGAGCGATTATCAGTTAATGTAAGGCCAGCAGCACTGAAACTTCTTTCACTTGACAAATTAGTTGCCGGAATGGCAAACATTCTATTTGCAAGTGAATGTAATCGTGGATATTTTAACCGATTTTGTTGCCAAAACTCTAAAATATTTGAATTAAGAATATATTGTTGAGATTGTCTAATTCTTTGTCTAAAACAGTTGTGTTTTGGTCGTCAGAAACGTCAACAAAATCTTGTAGACACAAATCAACAATATATTCATTTTGATCATAATTAGTAAAATGTGTAATAGTTGTTGTCGGTATTTTGATATCATTTAACAAATTTGAAATAGATTTATACAAATGAATTTTCTCTTCATTTGAGACTAAATTATTTAATTCACGCAATGGTGGAAACAAAATTGTAGTTATTTTGTGTAAATCAGTTATTTTAAAGTATTTGTCAATATTTGATTTATAAATTGTTTTCAAATATTTAATATCATTTGAATCACTGCTCACTTCTTTGCACAACAAAAACATTTTTTGTTTAGTTGGTAACATTAAATGAAATGTGGGTTCGGAGTCCTTACATAAAGCCATTCTCAACTCATAAAACGGTTTTAAAAACAATGTTATTTCACTTAATATTTGTCTATCAATTCCTCCAAAAATGTCAAAAACTTTTGCATTATTTAAAGCGATTTCTTTGATATCATCAAAATTTTTTAGCACTGATTCTAACATTTGATATTTCGAGTCCCAACGAACAGATATTGATTGTTTGAGTTTTGTTTTCAGTTGATTTTGAAGACCAGAGTGCCTAAAATGTGTCACTAATTTTTTACACAATTTTACAACAAAAGTAATTCTTTGTTCATTATTAGATTTTAGGCTTTTAAATGAATGAGAATGAAGTAAATTCATGTTATGGGCCGCACAACTAAACCAAATGTCAGTTTCAAATGCAACTATCATTGACGATCCATTATCTGTTGTAAAAAATTTCGTTTTTTCTGATAACTTGATTCATTTAAAATATCAATAACTTCGGCCTCAGTTGTTGGCCCTGTTTTCTCAGGAGTTTTAATTGTTGCCAAAACTCTTGATTTAATTTCAAAATTAATAATATATTGGACTGTTAGTGTTAAATAACTTGTTTTTGTCATATCATGACTCCAATGATCACAGGTTATTCCGATCGTGTGTAATTTATCAAATGATTCAATTAATTTCATTTTAATTTTGTCATATACTGTTTTGATATGATTTGAAACAGTTCTGTCTGTTGGCAAAACATCATCAATAGGTGTGTTTGGATGTTTAGATCCAATGTTTATTAAAGTTTGGGCCAATTGTCTAAATCCCAATCCATTAATCACATTAATTGGGCGAAAATCTTGCGCAATAAACATAACCAATTTATCAGTTAAATCTTGTTTAATATTTACCGTACTTTTTGACGGTTTATAAAAATGTTTTTCTATTGAATCAATATTTTGAACACGAGTTTCCCGACATTTATGTCTTTTCAAAGCACTTGTACCGGTTTTATTGTTGTATTTATATAACAGTGAACATTGAGCGCACTTTACATAATTTGTGTCTAAATTATCATTAATTATCCTTTTAAATGATTTTATACAATCATCACTTGAATTGATGTCTTTAAATGTTATTAGAGGTGAATTTTGTTGCATTAAATCTCTTATTATTAGTTTTTCATGCGTTTCACTCGTATCA